GGGGGGTTGTTATCAGCCAAGTGCTTTAACCACTGCACTACTAGGGGTCCTTATACACACACAGGGGGGAGACAAATACCATGTGAGGGTCATCTGCAATCACGAGAACAACGGAATGGCCAGAACACGGGGGCTAAAGTGTTGAGTATCAAGCAGTTCCATGTAAGTATTATGCATTGATCTGCTGCTCCCCACTCTCCTCCCCACCCCCTCCCCACCCGACCCCCCACCGCCTGCTTCCCTATCTATACCTGTGGATGTAATTGAATCTAATGGAATCAGTCAGTTATAAAATCAACATGATCGAGGCTCTCATTTGGGCTTTAGCTTCCAGAGCTGGGAGAATATACATTCATGTCCTTCTAAAGCCATTCACATGTGGCATTTTGCTACAACCGCAGCAGGTAACTAAGACAAGTCCTCAATAGGCTCATTCGAAAGGTGCTTTCAAAGAGTGTTTCCTGCACTGGGCATTTTTACCTGTATACTTTTCAATTTATTTTTTAAAAGTTGAAGATTATGATAAGACGCCTCAATGGCCCATCGAATGACACGTTCGGCCATGACCCTCAATAATTGCTTGCGTCAAAGAGGAAAAGGATTTTGTAAGGCTTCTCTCATAAGCTTTTAAATAAGCACAACAGGAAGAAGCTCTGCTAGATAATTGATTACCTTCCACCAGATCTGAAAATATATTTGTCCCTTCCTCCTTGGCAGTAGGCCAAGGCTATAGGGGAACCCAAATCAGCAATTCTGTTCTTTTGAAATCTTCACCATTGGTTTACAGGACTCTCCCTCCTGACGGCTGTGATAAACTCTGGGGCCGCCTTCAAACAGACTCAGATACATTTCAAAAGACCAACACAGGGTCAGCTCCCTTCACCACCCTGTCTTGGACCTATCCAGAAGGCCATGCAGACCAACCATTTTTCTTGTACCTATGTTTTTGTTTGTTTAGGGTTCTAAATGTTCTGATTAATTGTCATAGACGTTCTGATGTTGCTCACCACCCTTATTTGCCAGTTTGTCACATGGCACTAGCTTGTGAATTGCTCTTATGCTGCACATTAGACCACCGGGATTTGAAATACCAGCTGGGTCATCCATAGCGAATAAGTTTCCGTGTAACTTTCTAAGACAAACTTGGTTGGTTTTGTTTTTGCTTGGAAACAAATTTAATGATTGAAAACGGGCATTCAAGTACAGATTCGGGGCTCCTGCTCTAGGGAAAGGCTTGCTCCCTGGGGGTTTTGCGTTCCTGAGAGATTTCCAGGAGTGTTGGCTTTACCGGCCTCTGACTCTAGGAAGTTCTCGGTGCAGGGACCGGGTCCACTCCTGGCTCTTCTTTCTTGGGGTGGTCACCTCTGCCCACTAGTTCACCATTTTTCACATCTCACAAGAAATGGGGCTCAAGATACAATCTATTTCTGCCTTGTCCACTCCACTACCCATATGCCCCCACATCATAGAGTAGGGTTGACAAAACAGGAGAATGCTATTAAAGACAGTTGTATAATGGTGGTTTAGCCAAGCTGACACATTTTTGGGGGAACCCATTCAACCCATAGTAGCCCCTGATGGTCTCTCAGAAGGGACCTTCTGAGAGCAGCTCCTACCTAAAGACAGCTTACGTACAGTCCGTTATAGGTGGTCTGTCAATCTACTTCAAAACGAGCCAATGAAAACTCTGTGGTCCACAACCGCGTACTACTGGCTCAGAGCCAACTCGCTGATGGTAGGTTTGGTTCGCACTCAAGCATGCCAATGACCATGACCATGACACAGGAAGCATAACATTCCAACTAAATGCTGCGGCTGAAAAGAGCTCTAAAGATGAGGATTCCTAGACTCAGAGGATTCCTAGACTCAGAGAGAATCTAGCAGCAGCAGGTTGCCATTAACAGTCCCATCCTGAGCACGAATGGCAGAGCCTGAGCCTCCATATCCCCCCACTTCTCTTCCTCACCACACCACTTAAAGCCTTGAGAATGGTGCCGTCAATAACCTTTTGTGCAGCACCATGCTTGGTTCTTGTCCAACTACGAACCACTGATTAACGGCTTTTGCAATTTCCTTATCAAAGGGTATATATATATATATACCCTTAGGTATATATATATTTATTTATTTATTTATTTATTTATCAGAGGCAAGAAAATCTGAGACCATTCCATAGGAATCACCTTTGCAATTTCCTTATCAAAGGGTATATATATATATATATATATATATATTTATCAGAGGCAAGAAAATCTGAGACCATTCCATAGGAATCACCTTTAATTTAAACTCTGTATTTTTTGAAAAAAAATCTCACATATACAGGAAGCTATAATTACATGCAACTGCAAAACTATGTTCAAATTTTTAACAAAGACAGCCTCTCATATTACATTAATCTGGGAATTCCAAGCCTATTAAAAAAAACCACTTTACACTTTGTTAGACACTTTCAGAAGAGTAATTTGTCCAAGGCAACAACCGAACTAAGGGCAGAATCTAGTTATCTTAGTTTTTTGTCTAAGCTTCTATTTTAAACGATCTACCTCCTTATGTCATGAAAGATTCTTATTTTCTATGAGGTCCTTTTCCCAATTTCCTAGAAATTTCAAGAGGAAACAAGTTTGGGAAGTAGCATCAAATATTTAATGTTAATGTGCTAGTTAGTTAGTAGAGTTCTTATGCAAGGAAATTCCAAAAGTTTATTGAAAACTGAACTTTATCTTTTAATTTTTGAAAGCCCCTTGTAATTTTTAATTTAATTTTTTAATTTTAGTTTTTGAAAGCAATTGTAGTGCACAGATACTGCTGTCTTCATGTAACATGCCAAAACCCTGAGGCACAGAGAGAGATTATGTAACTCCCCACCCGAACACAGCTTTTGAGTGGATGAAGCCAGATTCGAGTCCAGATTTCTGTGCACACATTATTGGGTTGCTGGTAAAAATTTTACATAGAATGTGACAATCCTGGAAGACCTCGTGCTTACATGTATTGTAGGATGTTTAGTTCTGATGGAATTCTTAATGAGCAGGGCAATATCACCCACCGAGCTTGTCTTCCACAATTAGGGCAGGAGGAAATAAGCACAACACAAGACAATGATAAAAAGAAGCAGCAATGTAATAACCTACATCTTGTTTTCCTCATCCAAGCAGATTTTCGGATTTCCGTTTGTCTTACTACAAAATCCTGTGATTTCTTGGATTACTAATCAAGCTGTAAATTTCAACCAGCTCCTACACATTTGTCTCCAAATTACTAATTCTGAACTTTCTCCCTCATCCACCTGTACACAATCTATAGTGCCCTGTCATGCACCTGGAATTCCAACCTGTATTTTTGTTGAAAGATATTTCTGGTCAAGAGAATATTGGCTCTAATAGCATCCTTGGAATGTATTGTGTCAGGTACCAAAGATATAAAAATGAGACATAATCACCGGGGCTCACAATTTAACGGGTGGAACTGCCAATACAGCTGCCCTAAGTACAATAATAGAGATATTTATTCATAAATTTGTCATTAGACTAGCTGCTAGAAATTATGTATCAAAAAGCCATTTTGCTAAGTCTGTGGGAGTACTATTCCATAGGCAACTAACTGGTGACTTTATTTACAAAATCCATTCATT